GTAAATACCAGGTCATTGCTAATAGATGCCACTTCATTTATACAATTGCAGTGGAATTTCCAAGTTGCTGGGCTTACTACCACTCTTTCACTGCCACTTTATATTCAGAAACTTTCTCGGTCTATCCCAGAATGTTCTTTCTTTAACTAATATTAAGACAAGCTTTCATTGAATAGGTTGACATGACTTGTAATTCCTCACCAAATTAAATACTGTCCCTATGATTTATATTAAATATCTTTAAGGCCTATGACTTAATGAATTAATTTATTAACTGATTTTTCCCTTTGGAACAAGAAAATCACTTGTCTTCTCTTCCTTACCCCCTGATTCATAAAGAGATGATGACATGAAATAAATATAACAGTGAAACTTCTTACAGTGTGTGTGTGTGTGTGTGTGTGTGTGTTTGTGTGTGTGCATGTGTGTTTTTGTGGAACAAATCCAAGGACCGCCACATGCTAGGTAAACCCTCTACCACTAAGCTATCCCCTAGTTTTGAAATATTTTTTAAAATTATTTATATTTATGTGTTGCTGAGAATGGAACCCAGGGCCATACTTGTGCTAGGCGAGTACTCTACCACTGAACCACAACCACAGCCCAAAATGTCATAATCGTAATGAGCAAGTATTAACTACTTTGTTTGTTATAACTTAGAATAGATATGTAACAGAATGTGTCATATTTTATTCACACCAGAAGAACTACTGAATATCTCCCTTGGAGAACTGTCAACTCTGGAAAGTTTATAAACTGGAAGATAATCCTCTGAGGGGAATTCCATTCAATTGCATATGAAATATTTTTCAAGTTTGTTTATTCCTTAATCTCAGGAATATGAGTTACTATTTAATTTATTATAAAGAAGTTTAAAGAATGAAGGGGGGATAAAATAAAATAAAATAATTGAAAATAATCCATTCTTCCATTTACCACCATTTTGGAAAGTTTCATTCACTTATTATTCACTAATAAATGATATCAAAGGGTGGGGGGAATGAAGGGGGAAGAAATATCAGGATAAATTATTTTAAAGGTTGGTCCCAGAGAAAGAATTGATATTATATAATATTATATATAGAATTGATATTATATATATATAATATCAATTCTATAAAGCTGAATCTCTGAAAGATTTACATGAACTATTTAAGAAAAGTTTTGTGATTTTATGGTATTATTTGCCTTGTATCTTAATAACTTGCCTTTAGAGTATACATGGGTGATATATTGGAAGAGCTATTTGGATGGGAACTTAAAAAAAACCTGTTTATTTATAGAGTACAAATAATAACCTTGTAATTAAACTGAAAACAAATAATTGCCAAGAAGCAATTATCATTCAATTAAAGAGTAATTACATGGTTATTTGTGCCCTGTAAAATAAAGCATTACTGAGATCAGTAATGCAATCAATATTTTAGCAGAAACAGTATGCTGCAATGATGGACCTTTCAACCTATGCTGATTAAATTGTTATCCATATAACAGTTAAATCACCACATATTTATTTGTCTTGATTAATATGTAAATATCTGTCTGATGCTAATAATGCTCTTAAAGATAAGAAGTATGGAATTATCATCTATCAAGAATGTTCTTTCCCAACTTTCCACAGAATCCTCCATAGTCTCATCTTATCATCAGAATTGCATTCTTGGAAATGAAATGCAGAAACTTTATTTCTAGGAATGTTTCTATAGAGAATTATGAAGTCTAATAGTAAGACAAAACTTATCTATTATTTGTATGGAGCTTTACTAATTGTAAGGAAATTTCACAACCCTAATGTCAGTTAATCTACTGTGGGGCCCTAGTCTTCACTTCAAAATTAAAAGAAAGGCATCTCAGTGTGTGAATTTTGCTCACTGATATATTCAAATGTGTTTGGAAGCAGATAGCATCCAATCATACTCACTAAAGTGGCAGTAATAGATTTTATATAATAATGAAAGTATATATCTTTATCACTAGACTACAAGATCCTCAAAGGCAGAACATGTTCTAGGTTCTCAGGATGTAGCAATGAAAATAAATTAATAAATAAACAGACCGAAAAACTTACCTTTGTCAAGCTTTTATTTTGACCTTGGTTTTATGGACCCCTGGCACTATGGCAGGCGCATACTAAGCAGATACCTCAATATGTTAATAGATGACTGAATAAGTGATATTGCCTTTGCATATGTGTGACTGTGCGGGTGTGGGTGTTTAGTCCTTAAGCAGATCTACATGATTCCAAAGCAGTGAAGAAAATAAGACAGTGGCATCTATCTGTAGTGATCTTTACATTTTTTATACTGTCAGATTTGAGTGGACCTTATTTTGAAGCTTCTATATTTCTTTTGGAGTCTAAGGTTTTTTTTTTTTTTTTTTCAAAAAAAGTTCTCCTGATGATTAAATGATGAAACTGCTCTGCTCATGTTTAGGAGAACGCAACAAACTAAGGTATACAAGGAAACTGTAGAAACAATCAAAAACCATTTCCTACCTATGTCAATTAACTAATTTATATACTTGATGAACCCTACTGTGTGCTAGAAACCATGAGAATTTCTTAACATTCAATGACAGTTTGTCATTAAAACCAGACATGAATGCTTTCTTCATGGAAATTAGCTTCTAGTTGGGGATACTCCCTATCATACTAACAACATAAACTTAAAAACTGAGAAGAATATTAGAATGTAGAATATGACCTCTACAGTTTATAACATATGTAGTCGATATTACCAAGCCATTTGTGACATAAGTCAGGAATTCTCCAATAGAGATCTCATGAAAAGAAATGTAACATTTTTTCCTCAAATCTTGCAATTTAAGGTAGAACCAGTAAGCCAAGAAGCCTGTAATGTCCCCCTATTCTAGCTCAACTTATTAGAAAAGAGCTGTTTCAAATAGTGAGGACTGACTGAGAAATTTGGAACAAAACTGGTTAAACCATCCATACAGCTTTTCAATGGATGTTGTTAGCAGCTGGCAGTCATATGGCTCTTCATATGGAAATAGAGCATCCTGCTGCTTAGTTTTGAAGGCAGCCAGTCTGAAAGTAATCTGAATATGGAGACAGCACTGAGATGTTTACAGTGGAAAATTACAAAGGATAATCAGGTGAATTTAAATAGAGTTAGCAAGCTTGAGATCTCACAAATGGAGAATGACATGAGGTAACACTTAGAAAGTATAGGTTTGGTGAAGATTATTTAACAAAATAGCATGTCTTCTTCAAGTGACTGATATACCCTGGTGAACATTCAGTGATCCTGGGATTCTTTAGGATATTTGAAGTAAATAGCATATTTTTATTTTCAGTATTTAAAAGACTTAGGAAGCCACAACAGTGAAAAGTTAAACAAGGTAATAACAGCAAATTAAATAAAATAAATTGGGGTCAGAATCAAGTAGAAAGGAGAGAAGAATCAGTTTGTAATATTGAAACATTAAATGAGAAAACAGAATTTGTTGTGCTGCATTGATACACAATATTTATCTCCAATGGAAGAAAATAACACTAGCACAGTGAATGAAAAATGAACTAGGTAATAGTACCTCTGTGTAAGGTTGCTAGAAGTTGTCTTCATTTAATAAAAGCAGAGTTTGTCTTATATTGATGGAGCACTTTGCTACTGCAAAGTTGATAGAATGTGCATTAACTTCAATTTCTTCATGAACCCAAAGTTATTTTTTTGGTAATGTTGTCTATCTGAATGAACCCCATATGTTTTTTGCTGCTTAAGTTATTTAATATAATATTTTGTAGTATTTTGTCAAAAGTCCTATTATTCAGCTTTGTAAAATGAATTTCTACTAAAAGGCAGCAGCAGAATTGTAGGCAACATAAGAAAGTAGTTTTAAAATATATCAGGAGAGTTGAGAACAACTTGATCCTGATATTCTTTGACTTATAATTTTTTCAATGTGATGAGAGCCTCCAGATGGTGTTTTTGGTACACTAACTGGGTAAAGGTACACAAAGGACATGATAGATGCAAACTTTTTTATTTATTTATTGTATGAATAAGCATTTACAATTGCAATTTCTGAATTCAGGAGAAGAATGTACAAACATGATAGGTGAGGTTAATATTTTAACTTTAGTCTCAACTTATCAATTAAAAATACCAATCAATCTGAGAAAGAAAAAGACAGTCTAGCTTGCAAATCTGTTAGGTTTTATTAGTATAGGTACTTGGAAAGTGAACTGCTTCTTATTTAGCATAGTTTAAAAAATAGGTACGAACCAAACATGGTGGTTCACACCTATAATTCCAGTACTCTGGGGCTGAAGCAGGAGGAACACAAGTTCAAAGTCAGTCTAAGCAGTTTAGCAAGGCCCTGAGCAATTAAGCAAGACCCTCTCTCAAAATAAAATATAAAAAGGGCCAAGAATGTGGTTCAATGGTTTAATGACCAGTACTATATATATATATATTTTTTTCTTTCATATATATATATATATATATATATATATATATATATATGAAAAAACAACTTAAGGTGGGGATTCCTTAGACTCCCAGAAGCTGTGAAATGCTAATAAACATCAGCCTCCCCCCCCCCAGCATCTCTCAGCTCTTTAACCCTTCCTTACCTTTGCCACACTGAGCAGAGACTAAATCACATTCTGTACAGTTGAAATTCTGTGAGTCACTATCTCAGTTCTTAGTTACATATATTAATGCTGGGGATCATGTGTAGTTTTAAAAGCAGGAGGTAACTTAGGATTTCTCATAACAGGTGAGCTATATTGCAAAGTGCTAGCCTGTGAATTGAATCTAAACTAGAAATTGATCCTTTTTGTCTTTAATGTTTGACATAACTACATTGGGCAATTTAGTGGAAAGTATTGGTCTTTTAGTAATCCATGACAATACATAGTCTCTAAAGTTCTATCACTCCTGGCAATTAAATGAGATTTAGAAAATGAATATAGCAAGTGATGATATTTCCAAAATACATACATTTAACCTGATCTTTGTTTGTCTGTTTTTCAACAGTTCAAGGCCTGGTAGGCCCCCTAAACGTTCTTTGGGAGTGTTGCAAGACAATGCCCGCCTTCTGCCCCATGCAGTCCCAGGCCTCCTATCACCAGGACTTATCACTCCGACAGGTAAGAAAATCCATCTGATGATCAGCCTTGTCTCTTCATACTGTCCAGCATTTGAAATAAACTAATATTGATCTAACTGCCTTGTCCTTCAGAGCTTTTCAAGCTCTAGTAGAGGTTACATTATTGAGTTTTTTGAGTATTCATGAAAACAAGTTTCGTTACTCCAGCAACTCTGAAATAAAATGGATATTATTTTAAAAAATGTTTCTCCTTGCAGGAAACCCATCTCATAGTTTTTTTTTAGTATGTATGTATATATTTGTTTGTTGGGGTCAGGGATGGGGGCATTGGCCAAAAAAGCATCATTTCAAAGTCTTCTATAGAATGCAGCTTGCTTGTTTATTTCATATATCTCAGTGATATTATTTTTATATCTAGGGGACCTGAGCATCTGTGTATGTTATTCAAGATAGTACAATAGGTTAAAAACAATAGAAAGAAAATGCATCATTCATAAAGAAACGTAATTGGAAAAAAATGTGCAGGTGGTCATTGTGCTGCATGATGCTTTAGTGTTTTTCATTGAACACTGTGATTAATTGGTAAAAATACTGGTCTCATAAATCAAAATCAAACTCACCTGATTCTCTAAAAGGTATATACAAGTATGCCAAAAATTGGAAATTAAGCTTAATATTTCTGTAATTGAGTATTTGAAAACTATTAAAATTATTACAGTGTAGAAAATGAATTTAAGAACAATGAGATTATATATACACCCCTTCAATGATAGGAACATTTATAAAACACCTGCTTTGTTTGGATGTTAATTTCTAACTAATATAAAAATATATAAGTAGTGATGTTGGTCACAGTAGGGAGAAAAGAACATAAACTAATAATTGTGTTAAAGTGTGATAGAGAGCATAATACAAATATAAGCATGGTGCTATAAGCTCCAATATGGAAACACTTAAATGACTTTGGTAAATTGGGCAATGCTCAGAGGGATGAAAACCTTAGAGTTATATCTCATAGGTTGTTCGATAGATGGAAAATCTGAGGAAGAATATTCCAAGCAGAGAGAAACACACATAGATAGACACTAATGAAAAAGATCCCAGGGTTGTAGGGGGAATAGTAAGTAGATTGAAGAGACTAGAACCGAGATTTGAGTTAGCAGACTTACAAATGACATGATTAGAACTGAAAGGAGGAAATAACTTTCAAAGCTAGCTTTTGATTCACCATATTAAGTAGTTTAATTTTTCCCTAAAGACCAATAGTTTCCACAATTTATTTCAGGACTTTTCTCCATGGCTGACATGAAATTGGTGAAGACCTTACACTTCTGCCTCAGAATTTTATATGTTCTTGCTCACATAGGATATTGTTTTCTTTTGTTAAGTAAAACTTCTATATATAAAAGGAATCACTGCTAAAAACTTGAGTAAATTTTCAAAACAATTGCTGTAAAAGGTAGATAACAATGAAAGTTACAGAAGAAGGAAGGTCAGTTGCTACAGTTCAAGGGAGAAATACAAAGTGTCTGAACAAAGACAATTTCAATAGAGTAGAAAAGAGTTCTGGAGTGCTTCAGTAATTAAAAGTAATCACACTTGATAATCAATTAAATGTAGATGGAGAGTTTGGGGGAAAGGACAATGAATTTGATAAATTTAAGTATTTATAAACAGATTCTGATATAAGCAAATTGCCATGTGTATATAAATAAATGCAGAATTTGTAACAGCACATAAAATATATCTTGGGGCTCAAGAAATGATATCTATTTCTATATTGCCAGAACTTTGAAAAAGCACCATGTGCATAATCAAATCTCTTTTTTTAAAATTTTCAGTTGTAGATGGACACAATACCTTTATTTTATTTATTTATGTGGTCCTGAGGATTGAACCCAGTGCCCCATGCATGGGAGGCAAGTGCTCTATTACTGAGCCACAACCCCAGCCCATGTGTCTGGATTATTAGGGAATGCATAGATGGAAGAAAAGAAAGGTTCTCAAATTTGCTTTGAAACTAATCCATTCCTGAGTAAACGTTAGTAGCTTATCTATCAAAGAAAAGCTGTAACTTAATGTACATTAAGTTCCTATTATGTATCAGGCATTGGTATTAAGTGTTTTATATATATTTCATTTAACCTTTGTAGTACTCTTATGGATATACAACACTTAATACCAATATAAATATTCTATGACTCAGTGAGTTTAAATTAATTGCTTAAAGTCATAAAGCAAGTGAATGGCAGAGCTGAGTTTCAGACCCAGGTCGATTCCAGAGCCCTTACATTTTACTTGATGTATATGTTTCATGTCCTGCACATTTATGAAGCATCCTATTTATATATGCGACTTCAGCTCTAGAGTAATCTCCTTCTTATTTTTCATGAACTTATTTTATAACCTAAGAATATCTTACTCACCTGCAGTCAAATGTTAGAAGAAAAATGCTTTGTAAAACCAAGTAGAAATAATTTGGGGGATTATGTGATATTTTGGATTTGGCATTCAACTTTATTCCTCCATTAGCAAAGATATTTAAGATATAATCATTTATTGATTTACATCTCAGTGAATTTCATACTTGGCATTATATCAATCTTGTTTTATAAACTTAAATGTGATTAAGAGTCTTTTTCTATTCAAGAGTCCTTTTCCCAAAAAGATTATTGAAATGGTTTGCAAAACTTTATATTTTTAGGTTCTGCAATCTGAGAATATATTTTAAAGTGATATAGAACAAATATATACAGACACAGACACACACACACACACACACACACACACTTACAGACAACTGAAAAATTATTTGTCAGAAAGAATCTTTGCTACCTACAGTTTCTATGTCATATGTATGGAACAGTTTATTTGAATCCTGCTAGATTTGCCTAAGCAATGGATTTTGTTCTGCATTCATTTATATTATTTTTCTCCGATTCTTTTAGCTTAAAGACAGGGTTTTAAAGTACCATAAAACCTAGGTGTGGTAGTATATGCCTGTGATCCCAGTAGCTCTGGAGGCTAAGACAGGAAGATCAATGCCAGCCTCAGCAACTTAGGGAGGCCCTAAGCAACATAGCGAGAACCTGTTTTAAAATAAATAAATAAGAAAAACAAACAAAAGGGCTGGAGATGTTGCTCAGTGGTTAAGCGCCGGGATAAATCTCTGAATCTTATGACCTCAAAAACAACAACAAACAAACCTAACAAAAATGTACCATAAAAGAATGATCAGGGTATGTATTTTCAGATATTGTGACATTTTATATATTATTTTTTGTCATTAAATTATTTCTCATCAGCTATTGGAAAAAATACCAGTGAAAAGAGTTACATATAGTTAAGATATTATTAGATTTATTTAAGAGTATTTCTTCAATTTAGATATCTTAACATATACGTCTTTAAATTTTTTTTTTTAGTTGTAGATGGACACAATACCTTTATTTATTTGTTTATTTATTTATTTTGATGTGGTGCTGTGGAGAGAACCCAGTTCCTCACACATGCTAGGCAAGAACTCTGAAACTGAGCCACAACCCCAGCCCTTAACATATAAATCTTAAAAGACACATTATAATGGCAGGTATGTCATTGTTTCATTTACATAATATAAAGGTTAATATATTTCATCTGATTTTATTTTCTTTTGTAATTGGTATATTCTTTCATACTCCACTAGTTCAGAATTTGTCATAATTCAGACCATGGCTATGCTGATATCTCAGGTGTTAAAAAATTAACTTGTTTAGCAAATTAAGTGTATAAACAAGAAGTGTGTATATGTGTGTATGAATGTGTATATGGGTGTAGTGACATTAAAATACTTGTGGAGTATTTAGGTACCTAAAACCGCTTTCACAAGATCTGTTATAAAAGTAATCAACATATCAATTACTGATGATTGATCTTTATTCATGAGGTAGGTCTCATAAGTTTTATCCTTTATTGTCATATATTCATTTATATATATAATTAATATTATAATTAATATATATATGGACAGGTAGGTAATATCTCTAAATATATGTAGTTAGAGATACACATATATTCATTCTTTCATGTAACATGCATTTATTGAACATTACTCTGCATCATGAATATAAGGAAACATTATAACACTAAAATAAAATTAATTTTGTGGTTCAGAATTTTCCCAAATTCTACCCAACCTTTTCTGTAGTTATTCTCAAATCATGAAGTTTCACTGCATTTTGCTTTCATGTATATGGACTAATGATATTCTTAGGTGTTTCTTTCTCTGTATCTATAATATTTTCAATATCTTAATTCACAAATAAAACATTAACACATAAAAATCATATTTTCTAGTATTTTCTGTAAATTTTCATGCTATAGGGAAAAAAAGAGGAAATATTATACCCATTTTTTTGTGTTTCTCTGCTGAAGAGTTACTATCCTAGGATTACAATGAAGGGATGAAATAGCTGTATGAGCTCTTGAATTTCCCAGAAGATGACTGCTCCCCTTTCCTTAGCTTATGAAACATTTCAAATAGACAGATGTGGAATTTGGCCTGAGAGAGATTTACACTTACAGCTGACAAGGAAGTAATAAAGTGCTTCGGATGAAATTCCTGTAGTGTTCATTCCTTAAAATGTAGTAGATTTTTTAGTTCTTTTTTAGTTCTTGATGTGTTTTGGAAAAATATCTTTAAGAATGCCAGCAGTCATCTAATTCTTTGGGTAATTGAGCCCATGAAGATCTAATCCAGTGATAGTAAGTACAATGCCATAAGTAGAATTATATTTGGTCTTAGTGTGGTGGTGTCACCTTCATGGTATGCTATAATGCCAATGAGCCTGATTGCATCATTGGAATCAGTGTCTCTCTCTTTTCATAATGTATTTCATTTTCTTACTCATTTAGTTTGAATGTTAAGGACTGTTTGTAAGGAGAGATCCTAGACTGTTCTGCTTATAAAAAGAAGAAATCAGCTCCTCATTCTAGAAAAACCATGTCAACCATTGTTATGACTGAACTAAAAGATATCAATTTCTGGGAGTATCTGTGGAT